TATATATATATATATATATATATATATATATAAGTAAGAATTACCAGTTAATCTATTAAAAGTTAATCCTGTTTGTGGTGGTATTCTTGGAGAAATAGCCCAATTAAGTTGTGTTTTCTCTATTCTTCCTGATACAACAGGCTCTAATCTAACAAAAGAACCTGGATAAAATGTTACACAAGGACGAGGATCCTCCATGTCTGGTCTATGACGACGAGGAACTATATAACGTAACTGTAGGAGACACAGACACACAGACATAGAGACACACATACACACACATAGACACACACATGCATCCATCTATCCATCCATGCATGCATGCATATGCATGCATGGATGTATGTAGAGACACAGACAGAAAATGCATGCATGTATGCATGCATGTATGTATGTATGTATGTATGCAGATATATATACAGAAAGACACCCCAATAAGACCCTGAGCATCCCTGCATGCATAAATACATCCCTGGATGTATAATACATCCCTGTATGGAGAATTCATTCCTTAATGCATGCATGTATGCATGGATGCATGCATGCAATAAAATAATACCTTAAGAGGTTTTCCTTCCTTAATAGTAGTTTGTGGCTTGAATTTTTCTTGTAATTCCTCAACTTGTTCTCTTGCCTTGGATAATTTATCCCCCATGATTGCCTCTATATGTTGCTTCATCCTTTGCTCAACTTCTGCTGCTTCTTGTGATGCTCCTGATTGGAGACCAACAGCCCCAAGTACTGCAAGCATAGATTGTACTGCTGTACTTACACCACTCTTTAGGCTCTGTATACATATACATATACATATATACATATATATATATACATATATATATACATATATGTATATATACTTATTTACTTGTTTATTATGCAAAGAGGAATGTATTCATGTATTTATTTTTTTATAGATATATACACGCATTAATACATACATATGTATATATGTATATATATGTATATATATGTATATATATGTATATATATGTATATATATGTATATATATGTATATATATATGGATATACTTGTATAGATGCATGGATGAATAGAGAAACAGATGCAAGAGCAACATGTGCAAGAAAAAGATGAAGAAAAAGATGTGTATGCATGCAGATAATTAATAAAGGAATAGATAATAGATACTAACCTCGAAGCTAGTGAATGCTAATCCAAGGAAAGCAAAGAAAGCAAGAAGAGAAAAAGTAGTAAATAATAATACAATAATCATATGATTAAAGGAAAGATGTACTTCTTGTAGTACAAGTATAGGCATAAATTTACCAAATAATACCTCAAATCCTCGAACTAATTCCCCTAAGGATAAATATAAATCATGATTTATATCCATTAAATAAAACATTCTTTTTATATCTTGCTCAGGCATACGTATACGCATGCAATATATTACATCCCTTAACATATTATAATTCATTCCCTCTACATATAAATTACTTATTATTATACCTATATCCTCTGCATGCATAAGACCAAATCTATTTGCTCTCCTCTCTAGGGACTTTAATACTTTATCTAATTTTATAGGAGACACTTCTAATTGGAGGGACAATGTTAATAATACACGAACTGCCTCCGGCCATAAACCTGTCATTAATAATCTGTAACAAACAAACAAGCACACACATATATATATATATATATGGGAACAAAGGCGATAAAAGTTGGC